ACGTCAGGGCCGTGAGCTCGGGCCTCTGGCCTGTGTCCTTTGCAGTTAGCGGATGTCATAGCTCCAGGACTGACGGGGCGACCTCTTAGCGCCGTGCGCTGGCCTGTCCGTGCCAGCCCGGGGCAGGGTGGCTGTGGGACAGGCCGCAGCGTCTGGCTCCCGGGGATTGGGTTAAGCCAGCGGAGGGGTGTTTTCTGGCCACCGACTGCGGTGGGGGGAGGCGCCGAGCCTGGTCGGGGTGGGGGCGTCGCCCCACGCAGACGGCCAGCAGCCGAGGGCGGCCGGCAGAGTCGGCTGGTGCGGGGGACACGCACCCACCCTCCTTTGCTCCTGTCCTGCCCACACGTCACCCAGGCTCAGGAAACACCTGCTTCTGAGAAACACTCGCACCCACTTTTAAAGTGGTTCCCTGAAATGGCATCTGGTTTGTCTTTCCGGAGAATCACACCGGGCGCCGCTGCTTCAGTGAGGCGCACAGCTGGAGGAGGCTTTTCGTCCGACAGACGCGGGAGGTCGCGAAACGCCCAGGCAGCGTGAGCCTCCTTCCTTCCTCCGAGATCAGCTCGCTGGACGGCGACAACAGAGAAGGAAGTCAGCGCCCCGCTTCGAGCTACTGCCACTTTTCTGCGGTGACAGCAGGGTCCCGAGTGCCAGCTGCGCAGCCAGCCAGGCCTTGAGGAGTCTTGTCCCTCAGCCAGGTGGCCCGTCCGCTCATCCTGGCCGCTCACATTGACAACGTCTCTTCCCTCCCAGTTCTGTCCCGACAACAGAGCGAGTCCCAAGGTGTCCCCTGGGTGTCTGTACCTCGAGTTGGTTTGCAGAGACTGCGGAGGGCACCCAGTCCTGCGGAGAGGGTTCACTACATGGCCAGGGAGAGCTGGTGGGGCCGGGGTGGTGGCCCTGGGCAGCTCGAGCCCGTGGTTGCCAGGCCAGCAAGTGGGTGCCGTCCACCCAAGTGAGAAGCCAGTGACAGTGACGAAACACTCATTGAGCCTGTCATGCCAGACAGACACCACGCTCAAGGCTGCGGTTTCGCACTGCACGCATTTATTGGGGTACTCTTCTGCTAATATTTTCTCTAGTTCAAAAAACTTACTGAAAACAGTATTGGAGTCTGTCCGGCAAGGTGGGTGCCGGGCTCCGAGCAAGAGCAGCCGGCCAACCCAGAGGGATGGAGGACATTCTGATGGAGGTGCCACCGTACGGGGTGATGTGAGATCCGGCGTCGCCCCAGCCACATGGAGGGGGTCCTCGGTTCTTCCCCGCCAACTCAATAAAGAATTACAGGTCAGCAAGATTTAGAAAAAGTAAGATTTGTTGAAAATGCATTTTTAGGAGGAGACGGGCCGTGCCAAGGAAGGCTGCAGCCCTGTGGAATTCGGGAGGTGAAAAGAAGCAGCCAGAGTTCACTCCGAGGTGGGGACGGGTTACAGCAAGGAGGGCCGTGACAGCGCAGAAGCGGGCCATGGTGGGAGGGCCTGGGAGTGGTGCCCGATGGTTGGCATGTGAGGTCATTTTGATTGACAGTTGGCTTTCATATAAGCCTTTGCCTACAGTGTATGTGCTTACCCAGAATTCAGCTTGTTATAATTAGATTCATGACCTTCCGGGCACATGTGTGATATTGTAACGATGGTAGAAGGAGGCTGAGGTTACGGGCAAGTTAGAGCAGTACTTTCTGTGCATGCATCTGTGGCAGCTGTAAGCCGGCAGCATTTGTGGCCTTTGCGCCTTAGGGTGACTTATAACCACAAAATGGGTGTTTCAGGGAGGTCCTTAAGGGAGGTCTTCAGGGGAGGTTTCTATGGTTACAGAGCTGGGCCTTCTCTCCTGTCACTCATGACTGCGTACATACCCATCAAAAGGACTGCGGACGAAGGGCCGGCCAGGTTGAAGTTTACACTCCGGGGGGGGCCAGTGGGAGGTGACGGGGCCCAGGGAGAGAAGACAGGGCTGCCCAGGTCAGCCTCCCACACAGTGTCCGGAGGGGCAGGCAGTGTATCCTGGCGCAGGGCCTCCCGAGGACAGTTTGCACAGAGACCGCGTGGCCTGGAGGCGCATGGCGGGGGTCGT